CCGCATTATTGGAAGGCCCCCTGCCCGGAAGTCGTCCTCGCGTTATTAAATCGGCACTTGGTGGCAAGGCGACAGACCACCTCGTCATTGTCTCCCTACCGGACTGGTCATGGGGCTGCTTGCGCTCGCACCTCAAAACGTTAAGAGAGACAGACGGATCAGAGACAATGCGTCGAAGCCTCGCCCAGATGGCAGCCTGCCTATCACAGCCGTTTCCCCTCCCCCTCCCGAGAGCACTTCGGTGTTACACAAGCAGAGGAAACATGCGTCTCAGCGCAACGTCATCTCACGACACACGTTTCCATGGCCTGGCTAGCTCATTTGATTCTCACCAACAGCCAATCTCCCCCTTGGCCGCTGCAGGTACTGGGAACTCCGCTATTCAATGTGGCTGATTACACAATTAAGCATTTTCCCATACTGGTACCAGTCTGCAAGCCACTAAAAGGTCCGGTGATTTGAAACACAGCAGCCTGCGCCCACCCTTTCCTTGCGACGACCAGCTTGCCAGCCGGCGTGCTCTTCGTCGTCTTGGTCTCTCGCCCCAACGATCAGTCAGGTGAACTCTTCTAAAGATCCTACAGAAGAAAATCCCAAGACAGACAGTCTCGTTTCTCTGCCAGCCCATGAAACTCGTATGAGATGCAACCCCTGTCTTAAGCCGCTATAAGCCTTCACAAATCTCCTCCCAAACGACCATCATCTGACTCCCATCACCCCATGTTCTCTCGGGATACCCGCTAGCATCTCGTGTCAAACTCGTGTCCTTTCCGGAAGGATATACCGGCGCAATCACGTTGATTCAACGCACCTATTGAGAGTGCAAAAACACACTGTGTCCCCCCTCCCCTTCTACACAGTCACAAAGGAACACACACACACCACCAAGACTACCCAATCTAATGCTTGTTCCTACCGCTTAACCTTATCGGGGGGTTTGACAGGTCAAAGGCCTTAGCAGATCCCGGCCAGATGCACCTCAACGCCAACATAGACGATTCCACGCCCCGGACGACAAACCCCCGGCACGAACACCTCGCGCGTAGACTTCGTAGACACCCCCAAGACTCGGTCCAATCTTTCGCCCGGGCCAATCGCCAAAAGATCCCTGGCAGTTCTTCCAGCTCGCTCACAACTCTGCCGATTGGCAGGTGCGAGGTAACCGCCCGTCCCCGCCCCGGGGAACGCACAAAGGTATGCACAGGCTTGCCTCCTCGACCCAATCGCGGGAGGCGGGACAGAAAGGGAGGGGACGTATGTATGCTATGTACCTCGCCCAATGATATATATAGAGTTGCAACCCCACAGAAACTCACCTCGAGCCGCCGTGCCATTCGCCTACGATGCGTTCCTGCAAGTTCCCCAGAAGCAGGCTGCAGCCGCGCGCTTCGAGCCGTGAGAGGGGAGGGACCCGCCAGCCAACAGCCCAACTGAGCGCTTAAGACTGTCCTTGTCACAGAACGGAGCACACCCCTCGGATGCCTAAAGTAACGATACCATGCCAGGGATTTAGACCGCTTCGTCTGAAGAACATGCCGGCAGATATGGAGTGTACATGTCAGGTACTTCGATGTACCGCCACTTAGCGAGGGCAAGGGGGGCAGTCATGGATGGTTCTCTCTCTCAAGTCAGGCAAATGAGATTTTAGAAAAAAAAAGGCAAACTAATGCATTGTAGTCTCTTCATAAAATTCGTTATCATAATATCTTGAATGGGTGCTTGTCATCATAAAACATGAGAAAAACAGAACTTCCTCCCCCCATTGCGAGATCTTGTTCCTCGTGAGCAGCGCTGATTAGTTCCGCTGGGGACCCTGATCTTAAAATCGTGTGAAACCACTCGCTATTTTTTTGTTTTTGCTCTTCATTGCAAGTGCCTTGTCGACGCTGACATCTCCTCATCGATCCCATAAAGTCGTAAAAAAAAATATGTCCTCCATCCCATCCTACCCAAAATATCCCGGTAAGGCAAGAGTCGAGGTTGGAGCGGGCGCTTGCATGCCTGCTCCACCAGACCCTCGGGCATTAGCAACACGGCCAGGTATGCATCCAGGCGCTCTTATTCGTCTCTGCTAGCCGTTGGTGTAACATTCCCAGGAATGATCACATATCACCCGGCAGGGCTGCTCGACCAACGACCAACAACAACAGGTAGACCCACAATTCCCCTTCTCCTCCTGAACTAATACCATCTTTTTCGTAACATAAACATTTGCAAATAGACGTCAGAGCGGAGTCTCTTTCCTAAAGGAAAGAAAATGAAATGTAAGGAGAAAAGGAAACGTCGAACAGGTGAAAAACTCGTTGTAAAATCAAGATGATGGGGAGCTCAAAAAGAGGAACTCGACAAATGCCATCCGCCCAGCGCAAAAAATGCCGTCTAAAAAAGTTCGTTGCGTATCGTCATTGATCGTCGTTAATAGTAATCATGGAATGCCTCGCCTTGCGTTTTCTTTCTTGCACCTTTACTTTTTTTTAAGTTCCGGTCTCTTGTCTTCTTTCGATTGGGAGCGAACCCAATAGTGAGATTGTTGCGGGTATTTCCTTGAGAGGAATTGCTGTGAAGCCGTCCAACCGCTTGTAAAACACGTCCCGGATTTCCAAATGACTCCGTCGTAGCCCTTATTTGAAGAAGAAAGAAGGGTCCGAGTTGGCCGGTGAAAGCTCGGACAGTGGGTGGGAAAGAAGGCTGACCTTCATCTTTTGTTCTCCCGGCCTCGATTTAGGATAGAGGAGCTCAGTCAAATGAGGCAGTAGAGCTGCTGCTGGAGTGGTGACCAGATCGTCTGCTGTGTCGCTCAGTGCTGTCCCTGGATGAAGTGTGGCGGCTCTTGTGTCGCCGCTTCCCATCAGCAGCAGGCAGGCCCTGGACAATGCCATTGCGAGCCAGCATGCCGCCGTTGACAGAAAAGTTGCGGCAAACCATGAATGCACGCATTGCCGCATTCTCCTGCGCTAGAAGGTCCGATTCATAGACGAGATCGGTCTGATACTCTCGGCCATTGACGAGCACAAGGCATGTGAAGCCGTTGTTTTGATGGTAGCATTCGTAGGAGGGGTCCGTCCATCCTCGGCGACGGCAAAGACCTAAATGGAGAGTAACATGTTAGCACCTGATGAGTCTATATCTTCGCGATGAATTCAATTGAACAGCCTGCACCCTCTCAACCCCGCGTCTCGGCTGGGCCTCACAGGCACCAATCCAGCAATGCAAGTCAGAATGCGAGCACAGATTCGTCAGATTCCACTGCAGGAACTAACTATTGCATAGCGGGATTTATGAGTTTCAACGAATGTCTCGATGCGACTCAGACCACTCAATTGAAACAGGCGTGGAACGCCTCACTTCTGCTCCCCCCACATACACAATCACACAGACAACGCATCACGGTGGGAGGAATTGCGGACGGAAATGGGTGAAACAAATTGTCTCGGTGCCCAATGGATAGACTTACTCTCCAGGTACTGCATGTAGAAGCCACCCATGGTGAAATTTGCGTTTCAATGGGGAGAATTGGCTCGACGAGTGAGGCGGCTGCTGTTGCGACTGCAGCTCGGAAGAGGAGGAAGTGAGAAAAAAAGTGGAAACAACGGCAGTTGTGATGAGCAAGGTTGGTGGTGACAGGATAGATCTCGGATCGTGTGAGGTAGAGGTAGACAGGGGCTTAATTGAAACAGAGGCTGAGATGCGTTCGAGCCCAACGGTGAGGAGAAGACTGTATAAAAGAAAGTCGGGAAGTATGAGGTGTTGAGGGGGGGGAAGAAACGAGGAGGATTTTGAGAGAGTCCGGCGCCGAGATGGGTGGAGGTTCGGGGAGTGATATTGAAGCAGGGAAACCAATCTGAGGATCCAGGGTTCTTGGTGCGGGAAACAAGGAGCCATCAACAGCGAGACATGTGTGCTTTATTGAGACGGTCCTGCTAGCGCGGAGCCAGGGGTGTCTGGATACAAAAACAAAGCAACGCGCGAACGGAGGTAAATTAGATGCAAGCAAACGATGCGGCTCTTGAAAGGGTGACCCGTTTTGATGTGTTGGCCTACCTACTTGCCAGTTGATCCAAAGCCGCTGAGGAACTAGACCACCTCCACCAAACGGATGTGGGCTGCAGCACCCAGGCGATCGCTCTGATAAGTGTTGACGGTCCTCGAGATGGCCGCTCAGTCTGATCAGAACGGACATTCCTTACTCGGTAAGCCAGGTTTGCCTCTTCTGCATCGTCGACAATTTTTTTTACCCCCCCGGCAGGCGGCGATGTTGATGAGCCTGCCTGCGTGGGGACTGGACTAATAGATAGCTCGGGACTGGATGCAGCCGAGTAAGTATCTGCACGGTTTTGGGCATGTACTTCGCCTACAAGAGATTAGGTGGTGGCGAAACAAATAATAGACAACAAAGGAGGCCAGGAGGGCGTCCATCCGCGTTCGTGTTTGCACGCAATGTACTACGCATTATGATGTTGTTGCTGTGGTAGTCCCTCGACTCCCCCGGGCGGCATCCTGGGCCGGCCAGAGGATTCGCCCTCCGAGATCTGATGCCAGGCAGTTCTGGTCAATGCGCAGAGACGACAAATGATGCGACCAAGGCCATGTATCGGCCTGTACCTGGCCCCAGAGGCCAACTCCCTGGGAAATCATAAGGGTCTGGATATAACATGCTGCAGGACCACCTGTCATGCTACGGCAGGTCACTCGAATTGGAAAGTCGCTGTGGCTCAGTCAAGGGTTTTTTTAATCAAAGGCCTTGGGTACTGTGACCTTGGTCTTGGTACTCCGTAACCTACGTATAGGCCGCTGGAGCAGGTATGCATGTCAGTGCTAGTGTAAGGTCCGCAGTGGTCGTCAAGCCATGTAACCCGGGCTTGGTTTCTATGGGGATTCATCAAGGCGGTAACAAGCGGGCGGGCCTTTGACGAGACGAGGGGCAAGCAGACATGCAAGCAGCTCTGGGATGGTGTAGTCCCTTTGTCCTTGGGGTGGGTTGTTAGCCACGTACGTCTGGTTTAACCCGAGTGGTTGGTACGCCATATGACCATCAGCCAACGTCGATGTCGCCCGGAGCGAGCCAGAGAGGGCTCGTCAAGGTGGTCCTCGAAAGCTAAAGCACGGCCGATGGGGTGAAGGTGCTTAGACTGCACTAGGAAGCACGTAGGTGCTTCTCGAGAGGTGGGGAGGAGGGGCCCCATCTGCGAGCCATCCATTGTCCAATGTGCATCGAGTGGGTAAGCCCTTGGGGCCAGCCGGTACAAAGGCGCCACGCCATGGCCATGCTGGATGAGAAACGAAAATCGCAGAGCAAAATAATCGGTGAGAGGAACAAGGAGGTGCATGAACAGGGCAGCAGTGGAGTGGTGGATCGAGCAGATCCCTGTCGTGCATCCTGTCGCTTGGAGCTTCAGGAATGAGGACTGTGAAGTTGACGGTGTAAAGGCCAGGCTGATTGGGTCGGTGGCCGCTGGTGGTCGTGAGGGGTCGAGGCAGCTAGGGAAGACAAGCCTGTGAGGTCTTGGGGTACTCATGCATTGATGAGTTGGCACTGCGCGGTTGTTGACATTACTCGTGAAAAGGGAAGGAAAGGGAGGAGGGGTTCGGGGCTAGAGAAGGTGGACAAAGACAACACCAAAACTTACCTGCCCACTAGCCCAGTAGTACCCGTCCAAGACCCCGACTCGACCAGTCGCTGACCTACCTACCTGCTGGGTACATACCGAAGCTGCTGCTGCTGCAGAGTCGACCCCAGTAGTCTGCAGAGAGGATCAGGTAGCGGCTTGTCATCATGCTGGTACCGCAAGGGCAACCGCAGGTACCTCGGTATCGATGTACAGGTATTCGCAAGAACCTCTACTTGCCAGGCCTACATAGGCTATCCGCGGAGTAGACGAACAATTGAACCACCGCGTACCGACCGACTACTACCTCATGCTAATTATAGGCATCGTGAGACGAAAGAAGGGGGGCGAAACCCGAAGAGAAGCAAAAACCAAAATGCAGAAGAGGTACCAGTCGCGATAGACCCAAGCTATGGGAAGCGAGTGCCCCACCTGCAGTTGGCGATTGACAGCCTCGAAAGACTCGACCAGCGGCCAACCACTTACACGGCCGTTGCGGATGGGTACATAGGTAGCTTCTAATAAGACCATTTGCCCGCGGGGAAGAAAAAGCAAAGAAAACGGATTTAACGTCCGCATCCTGTGGTGAGGCCGACCGGATTCTCAGGCAGAATCATGTCCTAGCCACATCCATAGCTGGAGCTAGGCAGCTTACAGATCGGAGCCCGCAAAAAGGCGAATGGATGGATTCCATGTGCGCATATGCAGCAGAGACACCACGAGTATGATTAAACGATTATCGGCTTACTCCATCTGCACATGACATGATGGGCAAAAAAAGAAAGAATAGCGAGAGAAGGAGGGAGAAAAAAATATGGAAATACTACGTCAATGTCACACAACGCTAATTGGACGTGTCCTGTAGCCCACATTGGCTTCCATGCCTTCCATCGATTCGACTAATTGGAAATGTTCCAGAAATCACACCTAAAATCCCCTAAGGACAACGCGTGGGCAAGGACCGTCGCAGCCCTAAAGTCTAAGTAACGTGTCGACCTACACCACTCCAGTTCGTAACGTGTTCGCCAAGTTGGGCCGAACGCCGGCCGTTGGCACGTCTCCAGGTTGTTGCGGTCAGCTCCCGGCGGTCTGCAGTGACGCGAAAAAAGTGAAGCCCAAGACGAGTTTGAGACCTCCACGCACCAAGCGCTAGCAAACTAGCCTGGGGCGATTCGCTGCATCTGCATGCACCTCAGACTCGGTGGCTTTCGAGAGTGGCCCAATGGCCAAAGGAGCAAACCATCAATCCTTGCTACGAGATCTTTTCTCCGTGCGGCCCTGTCCTTGTATCCGTGTAAACAATGCTCCGTCCTCAGTTTTGGGCAATTGGCAGAGCCCTGTCGTGCCACTTCCCATTATGTCAGTGGTGACGATTGGAGGGGCAGGAAGCTATGGAGAGTGCATCCTGGAAAGATTCGAACCCCGCGCTTGGGAGACCAGGGTCAGCTACAAGGTACCTACGTACCTGGTCTCAGTCCCGCGACCCAGAAATGGTTCGACCTTTATTTTCCACAAGTAATTTCGACCTGCAGCTGGTCTGGCCGAGATACCTTCGATACCTTCCCTCTTCTCGTCGACGGCGCCTGTTGTCGGGGGCACGGCAGCCAGCCGGGGCCTGGCCAGCTGAGCAGCTCCTTCATCCCATTCACAGCAACCCCAGCCCGGGGCACCCAGCTTACTTCCATCGCAAAGAGAATCGGGTGCAGACAGTCAGCCATGATGAGATCCTTACCTTGGCTGGCAGACAACGCACATGAAGCATTGTAGCAGTACCCCGACGCTGGACCCTTTCTGTCACTCATATCTTATTTCCGTCCCGCCCATCCCATCCAATGCCGATTTGGCTTCGGTATCAACTTGGCCCCGGTAGAGGTCTGATCCCTGGGGGCCGACCGTACGGATGGCTGAAGAAAATGCAGACGGCGGCCGTTGTATCCACCTGGGGCCTATCCCCACCGCCCAAATGCCATCAATGGGTCGGGTCGGTCTCCCATGTCCAGATCAGAGCAGCCAAGGTGCTTTGACGAGTGTGACCTCCAGGCTACGTGTAATTGTATCAGTACATGCTCCTCCCGCTCACCTTCTGCACCGTTCTCGAGGAGGTATGGATGTGTTAGCCAGAGGGCCTGGATGGTGCCACCCCACTGCACGGCTCGCTGGCTAGTACATGCCCTATACCTACCCCCAACGTACGTGGGCGGTCGCATCTGATGCGGCCAGAACTCAACCCACCGCATTTGATTCTCTGACCCGGTCCTCTCAACGTCAGAATAGACACGTTGTATCGCATTTATGCAGCTGCCGACATCAGCGCCCGCTCTTTTTTGACAGAGCGGAACGTCTCTCGGGCCAGCCAAGCCTTCCTGGCCCTCTCCTCCCTGGCAGAAGAGATATGGGCAGCCCGAGACTCGAGATCTTTTGGCAGTCCACATAAGGTTGTTCTAGATCGACTTTTCAGATACATGTCAGAGAATGTCTCGGATCTAGCCAGCTCCTGCGCCGAGACTCGAAACCAGCCCCGGAGGCCGGAGGGGCACTGAGACATGCGTAGGTAGGCGTGCCCATCATCGCGTGTTCATTGTCCTTGGCCGCATGTACCTCCAGCCCCGAGTGTATACCCCAAGTATCTCTGTCGGCCGGCAGGTATACCATTATGCTTGCATGTGTGGCCGGCTGGCCCAGACACACCCACCAGGGTCCTCTCTGATGGTGGTTGGAGGGCTCCTCCCTTGTCCACTCCCCTCCTTTGGCAAGATGATGTGCAGGACATGCAGTGCCAAGGGACAGGCAGAGAAGTACATATGTACGATCTCGCCGGCGCAATTGTGGCAAACCAAAACAGAGAGACCGCACGGCTCGACGGTTGTCCGCCGCCGTTACCTTACGTGCTTCCCTTCCCTTCCCTCCCCCCACCATTACCCAACTTGCCAACCATCTGAAGTACTTTTTCCCATGTAGGTATGTAAAGCAGACACCTCATCGGCCTTTTTTTTTTTGGCATTTCCTCGTCGACGTCATCCCTACCTAGTGTTCGTAACCACCCCGTTCCCTGGCGACCATTCGCCCATCTTGCTTGATTAAACAATTCGAGAATCTGGCACCCTTGTCCATGAAGACTCATCGGGCCCATCGAGTACCACATAATATTGATTTTCTCCATCCAAACTGACAGCCGACCGGCGATAGGATAAGGGATCTGGATGGACTCCTCAGCTCGGGACTCGTTATATGTTGTCACACTCTCTCTCCTCGCCTTGCCACCTTTTTTTCTCCTTTGCCTTATGCAAGCTCGAGCAGATAGGGTAATTTGAGGGGTCCAACCTGAGCGCAGCCATTTACGGAAATTTCTTCACTTGTAGGATTTATTTGCCCATTATATCGCCAATTTATGCCTCTTCCACTGCCTGGCCCCTGAAGATAAACTGTTCTAGAACTGGGGAGGGTCGTCTGGAACGCGAAATGTACAGGACTTTTGATTTTACCATTTTGATATCCACATATGCTATCTCCCTTCGGAATATACAACACTACTCTACCGACTGTGCCGTCCCTACTACGTCCATTATCCTCGATCTGGGAGGGCCAGCTGCAGTCTTACAGCACGTGATACAGCCATACGACCTAAGCCCGCATATCTGATAGAGCGGACAAAGTATAGTCAGTCGGTGTGGTTGGGGCAATTCCCCAAGCAGTCCCGTCCCTAGAATCCAGTCTTTGCTGCAAAGTAGTTCAACATGTCCTCTGCTTTCTGCTGGGGAATCACGAATACAGGGTGAGTTGTGCGGACGCGGTCCTCTTCATCAAATATCTGTTGGCCACCCTCCTTAAAGGGGGTTACAGACCACTTGTCAGTCCTCTCAACGGACGGGTCAGTGCGAGCAGCATTCATGGTCCACTTGTGCTGTACAGAGCTCAAACCGGAGAGTACGTAGCAAGTATGATAGGCATCGGAGTAGCTAAGAGACAAGTAATAAAAAAAAATGTCAGTTTGGCCCGGAGTGGCGCACAAGAGAGGAAGGGAGGGGGGAGGGGGAATCCTTACGCGCTTGGTTTGTCCCTGAGCCCGCCGCGCTTGGACGTGTCCTGGCAGCAGCAGAGGATGTAACGGATCATACCTTCTCGGCTGAACAAGCTATGATCGCCTGCCTCTTCCGCCGCCGCATCATTGTTTACGTCCTCAGCTTTGGGTCCCTCCTGCGGGCCGCCCAGGCTGGCCTGGATCAAGGGCCAGCATCCACCGACCCAGTGGCAGTAGCATCCGTCAACAAGTTTATTCGTGCGACCCGAGAAGCCGCCTTCTGGGGCGTTCTGTCGGGACGAGATCCACGAGATGAGTCGTGGAACGTCGAGGTAGCTAGATACATGCCAGAGTGCATTAGCAGGTAAAAGCTGAGTCTGTTGGTGGGCTCCTCCCCCCCTCGCCTTTCTCTCCGTTGTCGCGCTTCACGCCCCTCTTTCTTGTCTTTTCTCGGAGGCGTGGGCAGAGGAAGGAAAACAGAAAGAGACATACCGTGGAACAGCTCTATGTGGAGAATCCAGAATCGACAGACAGCCTAGGGCGCAGAAGGCATATGCACCATGGGCCTCCGTTCCCGGCTTAGCTGACACACCTCCTTCGTATGTTTGGCCTCGGAGATGTGAGTGACTCGTACAAGACTTGAGGGGGGGCAAGAAGGTACTCACAGCGACTTATCCATTCTCCCAGCCCACTAAGGAGGTCAGTGTGGCCTGCTGAATATGCAGCCGAGTCTGTTGGGAGGTCGAGGGGAATGTTGAGCAGGGAGATGATAACCGCGGCACAGTAGGCACCCCTGGACGAAAGTATTGAGTGAGCAAGAGAAAAAAGGTCACGTATCACAGCATCGATGGCTAAAGGGCTAGTCTCTCTGAGGAGATGTAGCGATAGACATACCTCACATCCTCTTCACCCCCTACCGCCATCTGAAATCCCCCGTTAGGCTGCTTGAGGGAGCCCAACCATCTCCACATGCTCTTCCTGTCCACCACCTCGAAGGCATCATCCCCGCCGACGAGGGCCAGCGACAGGACTATTGCATATGTGGTGGCGAGATGTGAGTCTTGGCCGAAGCCCCCAGCGAATCCGCCGCCCTCGTTCTGCATGGGACGCACAGTCGCGATAAGTCTCTCGCGATAGGAGACCACATC